AAAGTTCAGAAAATAAAATTAACATAATAAAATAATATAAATAAGTAAATAAATAAATCAAATTCATACCCTAACTCTTGGAAAACAATCCAATTGCATTGCTTGATGAATTAAAGAAAAGGTAGCAGTAATCATTGCTTGAGATGCAATAATAGTTGCCAAAGTTGCCAATACAAATACGATCCAGTATATTACTTGATTTTGTGGTATAGTCAACCAAAACAAAGGACCATCAATAAGTTTAGGTTCTAATATTAATCTTCCAGCTTGACCTGAATAAGCCAGTATTAATGGTACATAAACGAAAAATGGAAATGATAGTTGTATTGATTTTTTTGAAAAATGTCCTAAATCAGCATACAATGCTTCAACACCAGTGACTGCAAGTAAAACACCACCCAAGCTATCATAACCTTTTTCACCATTTCTTATAAAATATTCAAATGCATATTGTGGATTAAATGCTTTAAGAACTTGGGGATATTGTGCAATATTCCAAGCACCAATTATTGCCAAAGAAAGGAACCAAAGTGAAACAATTGGCGCAAACAATGCTCCCATTTTACTTGTGCCAAATTTTTGACCTATAAATAATAGCACAATAATAGCGCAACTTAATGGTACAATGGCATTAGTTAAACTTGGAGCAGGTACAGACATTCCTTCTACAGCAGACATTACAGAAATAGCTGGAGTTAACAAGCCGTCACTCATAATCAATGAAGCGCCAAGTAACACTAATATTAACAAAGCATCTTGAACAAACTTGCTTCTGGCAATTATATTTTTCTTCTCTTTTAAGCTGTGAATCGATTTTGAATCATAATTCATTATAGTTAAATCATCAGATCTTTCGTTTTCTCGAACTGATAAACCAGAATGTCTAAATTTTTTAAAGGTTTTTTTAGTATTTATTCTCCCTCAAATAAATTAAAGTTGGAAAAAAAAATATGGTTAGAATTACCTGCATATTAAAGAATAAAGAGCAAATGTACCACCCATACCATTATCATCAGCTCTTAAGATGATAAAAATATATTTTATCATAGGCAAAATTGTCTAATTGATATGACGAAGAAGAAAAAATGGCGATGTTCACAAAGAACAATAAAAAAGTATAATAATTTGCTGATTAATAAATGATTACTAACAAAAAAAAGGCTACAAATTATTTATTGATCAATTGATTTTATTATATTTACCAATGACCAAATAATTAAAGACACAGCACCTAATTAAACAATTGGTATTAGAATAGTTAGTATAGATCAATAAGTTTAGTTAATAAATCATAAATCGCTTGTTATTATATTTTTACCTAGAACATCGTTTTCATCTGCTGGTGGACTCGTAAAAATAGTATTGATTGTGTATAAAGGTGATGTTCCAATGTCACCATAAATCACACCTTTTAGTTGTCACATGTTAATTATCGTGATTAATCAATATAACAACAACAAATAAATGATAGAATAAAATAAATAAATACCAAGCGTTTTGAAAGCAAGGATTAAAGTGACACTTGATAAATACGACTAATTATTGAAAAAATTAATATTTTTTTTTTAAAAAAAAAGAAAAAATCAGAGAAAATATAAATTTTAATTAAAAAAAAGAATTAAAAATTACATCTGATTTATTATTATCATCATGTCGTTTTTCAAGGTCATTATTAGTTAATTTAATGATATTGGAATTTTGTTCTTTTGGATCAGTCATGTTTATGATAATTTAATTAGGGAAAAAAAAACAATTGAATTCATTTTTATCTTCTATTTATACCGAAATATTTTTCCAATCAATAAATCCAATTAGCCATCCTTTTTTTTATTATTATTATAAAAAAGAATACCGGGACTCATTTGCGGGTAATAATAAATCATATGTTATTAAATAAAGCAAATTCGCTATTGGATCAAACGATTAAATTTACAAAATGTCGGTCTAAAAATAAATTTTTTTCGAAATTCTATAAACGAACAATATAACTGAAAACTTTAAATTCTTTACATTAATTATTAATTCCAGTTAACAAATGATGTACAAGTTGATAATCGCTAAATTCATAATAATAATAAATAAATAATTGTTGGTATACATTAGTTCCAAAAGCAAGCATATTCTTTTCTTGTGATATAATTAATAATATCTTTATTGTTGCTGGTTGAGCAATTCATCAGATATAGTTATTCAATTTGATGAGAACCTATCAATTTAAAAAGCGTTAACGACAATGAGCAACATTAAGCTTTGTAGTCATTAGAATTATCAAACTCATAATCAATATAATAACAACAAGATTTTAGCAGGGGTGCGCAGTGAGCTATTGTGAAACTCCTCATTTGTTGTTATTACAAGGCAATTCCCGTTATAATGACAAAAACTAAATTTATATTTATAAATTTACGCCCGTTATAATGACATGTCAGTATAATAGGAGAACCAATCAATATCATTATTTTGATTATTTTATTGATTAGTTAAAAGCGAAACCATTATTCATTCTTGGGAGAAGGTTGATATTTTACCAAAGATGATTTAGATGATTACATTGATTATGAAAATAGTGAGGATAATATTGAATTAAAGTTGCAAAATATAATAAACGAATATTATAAAGAATCAATAACAACTACGGTGCAGATCATCTATAATCATTAATTGCTTATAGTAACAATTGGTCAAC